TTCTCAGTGCTGTGCTTTAACCCGCTGCGCCACCAGGGAGGGACACTTCTCCTGCCCTTTAATTGGAAGGTCCGGGAGGGCAGTACCTAGCTAGGTTCCTACTCCACCTGCCATGGGGGTGGGGGGCTAAATTATTGTTGAATGATGAATAAATGAGGAATTAGAGAGCTGGAGGATATGAGCCAGAGGACATAGCTGCCAGTTCTTGATTTCTCATTCATTCATGCAAGGAGGGAGAACAGCATGTGCAAAGATCCAGAAGCTGGAATAACTGGTTTATTCAGTGAGTGGAAGAGGACACACAAGGCTGCATCACAGTGATGGGGAGAGGGCAGGGGACCTGGACACAGGGAACTAAAGGCCTTGGGAGGGAATTTGGATTTTGTCTGGAAGCCAGAGAAGGGCAATAAATGACCTAGACTGGGCAGTAGTCTGATCTGTGTCTGTGTTGATAACTACAGTATTTAGTTTGAGGTGATTCTGTTCACCTGCTCCAGGAGCCCCAGTATTCAGAATTGGACAGAGAAGGAAAAGGGGAGCAGAGGGAGGAAAGGTCTGGCGGACCTGAGCTGTGTGGTAGAGAATGTACACGGGCCGTGGGGCGATGCACCTGGCAGGGGTGGAAGGACAGAAGGAGCAGACAGCTCGGGGATTTGGCTTGCTTGTTCTCAGCTTATTATCCTACAACCCCCCCTCCCAACCCGAGCCATGTCCTTACATTTACTGGGCTCATTTTTTCAATGTGGACACCAAGGCCAGGAAATAGATAATTTGCCCAAAATTACCTGGAAGATTTGTGTTCCAGAAGCAGCACATAGCAGAGTGGATTAAGCTCCCACATGGGACCATCCTAAGGGTTAAATGGGTGACTGGGTAGAGACTGCAGCTGTGTGCTGAAGCAGATAAATGATCCCTTATTACTGGTGTTATCTTTGTTGTTGTGAACCCTTTAAAGGCACCTGTGGTGGATTGTAGCCACGTTGTGTTCTCACATTCCCCATTTATTCTCATTATATCCTAGACATTGTCCCAGATCTCTGAGAGGAGACAATTGGTATCATCCTTACTGAGGTGTAATTTATATGCCATAAAATTCACCCTCTTAAAGTGTGCAACTCAGTGGTTTATAGTTGTGCATGTTTGTGCAACTGACACATGATCACTGGCATTATCCCCCTTCATACCTGCTTAGCAGTCGCTCTCTAACATGCCCCCCGGCAACCACCAAGCTGCTTCCTGTCACTATGGATTTGCCCAAAATGTACATGTCATATAACTCGAATCATGCCATGTATCGCTTTTTGTGACGGGCCTCTTTCACATTTTCATGTTTCATCCAAATTGTAGCCTCTATCAGAACTTCAATATCTTTTAAGACAGAGTAATATTCCACTGGAGCATGTAGGGTAAATGAATTAAAAGTCAGCCCTTTTCTGCCCTCCCACCATTAGCACTATGACGGCACCTGTGGCCTTGCAGCACCGATAACTACAGACACCTGGGCCCGGAGCACAGGGCCTGTGCACATGTAAATGGGGACACTGGTGCTGAGGGGCGAGGGGCTCAAAAGGCTTCGCTCAGATGCAAGGAGGAGACAGCCAGAGAAACAGAATGCGGGCCTGTCCCTGACTCAGCATGAAAGGCCTGTAAAAAATACACTAACGGCTCTAAAATGATCTTTTGGTCTTCAGAACTGACAGTGAGCCTACCTGGCCTGGGATGGTTGCAGAACAGGGATAGAGGCCACCTGGCCTGTGCATTCCCCCATTGACAGACCTCTGGGTAGGTTACCGTTTAGCCATTACCAGTAGTGCTTCTGAGAACATCCATGTACATACAGCTGTGTGGCTGTGCGCTTTGGATTCTCTGGGGCATGTTTCCCCTTTTGAGAAACTATCAGGCTGTTTCCCAGCTGAACTGTGCTATTTTACATTCCCATCTGACAGCCTGTGAGGGTTCCAGTTATTCTCCTTGCCAGCGCCTGTGACTGGCCTTTGGCTCATGGTCATCCTGGTGGCGGTGAAGCGACATCTCACTGTGGTTTCCATAAGCGCTTCCCTGCTGACTATTGATGTTGATGTCCTGTGCTTACTGGCCATTTGTATCTTTGGAGAAAATGTCTGTTCAGGTCCTTTCAGCTTTAAACTGGGTTATTTATGTTTGTATTGCATTGTAACATAGTCAGTATATTGTAGGCAATGCAGTAAATTAAACTTCAGTGCCCAACGCCTTTCTAACCACCCCCATGTTGGCGTTACCTCCATCTTGGATGGTGGATTCAAAGATTGAGGCAAACCGTGGGCCCCTTTCTGTTGTCCTAGAGCACCTACCACAGTGCTGGGCATACAACAGGTGCTCAGCAATGGCAATTGTTCACCAGCTAAGAGGTCAGATGATCCTGTCCAGTTGTCGTCACAGAGGCGATGATGATGGACTCACCAGTGGGGCTTCTGCAGGGAACTGGGACCCACGCCAGTGCTCTACTGTCAGGCAATGAGCTGACCCTGGGGGCAGCCGTGAACAGACAGTCCCGAGGCTGTGTGGTGCCGCTATTGGGCTGGCCAGGGGACATTAATGGGCCATTGGCTCCCTCTTAGTGCTAATGGGGTGGAAGCTACAGGGGCCCATGTCTAGGGCAAAATCTGGGAAGCAACTTTTCCACTGGCCAGAATGAGGCCTGACAGACATCACAGTTGCTCCAAGAGGAGCATTTGTTTGCAAGCAGCCAGAGGCAGGAGCAAGGCCACTAGGGGACCTTCCAGTGACCCCTGTGCCTATAATTGTGCCAGCGTGCCAGAGGCCACACTGCGTGGAGCCAGTCCCACTGTTCAGAGGAACACTATGCAGGATGTAAACCCATGGGGGGTGAAGCTCCCCACCCACAGCCTGTCAGGGGTCTCCCAGTCTCCCAGGTCCCATGCTGCTCCGACAGGGTGGGGACTCAGTGTCCATGGAACAGAGCCCAACCTGGAGGAAATGGATCCCTGAGAAAATGAGGCAGAAACAGAACAAAGATCAGGGAGACCGTAACGATGACAGTGACCATGGGGTGTTCACAGGCACAGTGCCCTATCAGAGCAGATGAAACATATGAGCCAGGAGGAAGTTAATGGAGAGACAGTGAGAAGAAAGGGGAGGGGGGCAAGGGAAGAGAAAGAGAGGAAAGAAAATGGAGGAGAGGTCAGAGAGCGGGGGGAAAAGGGGAGAAGAGAGAAGGGAGTGGGCTGTGAAGA